CTAAGGAGGTTGTGGTGACTTTTGACAGGTTGTAAAGATGTAATCTTGATAGATTTTCTTAAAGGACACAGGTTGATCACAGGAGCTTACTATGAAGTTGTTTTAAGAAAATTGAAAACCGCACTAGTGAACAAAGGGCCTAGGAAAGTTGTGAGAATTTTTTTTCTTTTATGACAGTGCATCTGCTTATTCTTCAATGGTAGCCAATCCTGTCCAACAAGAATTTTGTTGGAAAACCTCACCCACCACCTTACAGCCTGATCTTGTCTCCTACACTCAGAGCCCCTCGAGGGTGCCAGAGCTGCTGTTTGGGCGTGGTGTAAATCGGAGCGCGCAGACTTCCAGGAGATGGAAACGCGCCTGCAGTATGATTTTGTAGCAATACTTTTTGGCTTACCCTTGCATTGACATCAGTAGTCCCTGGAAAACACATAAAGACCCAGGTAACTGTGGTTGTCCCCAGAAAAACAAATTTGGGTAACTACAGAATAGAGAAAGGGGAATACACCTTTTTGTCTTTTGAATTAGACTGATCATTTTTTAAAAGTTACTTTTTGAAGAAGTAATCAAACTAAGACAATGGCTGGAGGAAAAGATATCAAATATTCCTGATCATTTTTACTAGCTAACAGAAAATGATCTACCTTCAAGATCCTCAGGGGCCTAGAACTGTTAGGTATCAAGGTACCTGAGTATATGTTACATTCTCCACAGCCACCCTTCCATCACTAAGGGAGCTGATTTTATTCTAAGGAGCATGTGCAATATGTCATAGTCGCAATAGCATAGGCACTGCATCTATTGAGACTTTCCCTTAAGGTCTGATTAACTTCTGTTGAGGTTTCCCATGCTAACTGGCTTAGATACTAACCCACAATTCCCTTTAAAGTTGCCCTGCAACTTGCAGTGACAGAGAGTACCTGAATCAGTCAGCTGTAGCAGCCCCTCTTTTGTCACCTGAAACAGGAATGACTATCGGATGCTGCGCCAGGGTATTGTTGACATGGTCCTAGCCACAGAGATGACAAAGCACTTTGAACATGTCAACAAGTTTGTCAACAGTGTCAACAAGCCCCTGGAATCACTAGAAGAAAACAAGGTAAGCGAGACTCATTTTAGAGACCTGTGTTTGGGGCCTGACCTCCTGTGCGCATGTCATCTGGTAGCAGCAGTCAGTAGGTGTGGGTGGAGCTCAGGAAGGCCCCTGTAGTTGATCCTTGTGACACTATTGCTGCCCCTCGTTTCTGGAGTTGAGATAGAGAGTTCGCAATTGTCTGACGAATTGAACCATTACCTTCCCCCAGACAGAACCAGAGCTGAGGGAGCAGACAAGCCTGAGTTCCCATCGTACTGCTCATCTTTTTCCCTATAGGGATAATAAATCCCAATGCATAGGGTTGACAGGCATAACACATGGTACCCTCACTGCCACTGAATCTACTTCCACCTGAATAGACAAAGTGCCCTCTAGGACAAAGCGGCACTGATCTATGTGGGTTTCTGTGGCTGTAGATCTTGATGGAAGCAGGCTGCCACATCGTCTTCCTCTGGAGTTGCTGCTGGGCTCAGACTGCCAGCTTCCTGGTCACCAGCCCACTGTATGACCCACTGCACCAGCAGCCTCCTCGGCCCATGATAGATACTGAATAATTGGTACCTTTTAATCTAGAAAAGGACTCCCGGGTTGGCAGTTCAAACCTACCAGCTGTTCCACAGGAGAAAGATGAAGCTGCCCCGGTCAATCTTATATATGGTCATGTGGGTCAGCATTGACTTGTTTTTCTCTGCTAGAGTCATTGTGAGATCCTCATCCCAGAGAATGTGTTGCTTCCTGAGCCCTCTGCTGTTGTCGCCCACACATCTGACATACCAGCAGCCCCATTCACCAGCCTCCTCCCTGCTAGCACCATGCACAAGGGTGACTTATCCAATTAGGCTGTGAGCACAGTTCCACGATGGTTAACTCCATTGTACTTCAGCAGTTCATTTGTTTGGCCAGGGCCTTTGTCCACTCTCTGGATTTTTAGCATATTACCCCTTTATAGTTACTCCTGCTGTGTCTGAAGTTCATCCCTGTTGAGGAGTGTTCCCTTTCCCTAGTCTACCGGTTTGACAGCTTGCTCCTGCCTTTTCCCAAGGATTTCTGAGTAGAGTCGACCACACTAGCCTTTTATTAGTCTCTTACCCATTCTCCTGGATGAAGCTGGTTGTCTATTTTCCAACCACTTCTCCTAGCAGACCCCATGCCTCAAAACAAGACACATGCCCCACAAATATGTTCCCCTCCAATTAGTCTGCACAGTCCCCAGACTCAGTCGAGTCAGTCCTCTGTTCTACCTGACAGTCATGTTTCTCATCTCTCTGGTTGGTGCCGGGGGAGCTTCTGAGTGTTAGACTGGAAATCAATACACAGTGGGCAAGCAGAGATCCAGTAACAGAGTAATTTCCAGGTCGGCAGAGGAGCAAGGAGAGCTAGTGAGCAGCCTAGGCTCAGGGTATGCCCTGCTCTTCTTAGTAGGCAGATGTGTCCCCACTGAGATGGCCCAATTCCCTGGCCTGGAATCAGGATGAAGAAGCATGTTTGCTCATGCCTTTGACAGTGCACTCTACCCTAGTACTCTTCCAACTCCAGTATACCGTAGCCTGAGAATCCACTAGATCAGCCGTTCTCAGCCTGTGAGTGGCGACCCAATTTATAACAGTAGCAAAATTACAGTTATGAAGTAGCAATAGAAATAACCACCGCATGAGGCACTGTATGAAAGGGTTGCAGCATTAGTAGGGTTGAGAACCGCTGCACTAGATACAGATTCTCCCTTATAAAGCTGACAGTATACGCTACCATGAGCAGAAGCAGTCCCGACTGAAAGGTAGAACTTAAGTTCTTCTGGCGAAATCACCTTACTGAATCCCAGGGCCTTCATTGATAAAATATACTAATAAATATGAATTCTTGCCATGCCTGCTACAATGTACATGACATGCTTTTGGCACCCTGAAGACTAATACCAAGGCCCAAGATTACACGACTGAGTTGAGGGTTAGGCTGTGAGGAATAGAGAACCTCAGGAGCACAAGAGCCCCTTTGTCGTCAGAGTAGAGATATGCTTTTACTTGTTACATTCATACTCTTAGCAATACAATGCAAGATAAAACTAGTTTTTGTTACCAAGGAGGAAAGGGGAACAAAAAGAAAAGGGAACTGTGAAAAAAGACGTGGAGCGAGCCGAAGTAGGATCCAAGAAAGGAAAGGGCAAAATACACCAACTGCTGGTGCTACCATCTACTACTCTAGGTACTGCTGAGAGCTTGGTGGGCCCTGCTTTTCCTTTTTGTAGAATGCAGAGCCCAAGCTAAATGCGCAGTCAGCCGTGTGAAGCCCTACACTTATGGATCCTTTTTGTGCTTAGAAGGGAGCGTACTTGGCGCCAGCTGACCTATTCTGATTGCATTGAATTCCATTCATGTTTTAGGAAACAAATAAACATGCGGAAACAATAAACACTATGCTTAGGACACCAGAGAACCGGACTCTGATCAAACGAATGCTGATTAAGTGTGCTGATGTGTCCAACCCCTGTCGGTCCCTTGAGTTCTGCATTGAGTGGGCTGCGCGCATCTCAGAGGAGTATTTCTGTCAGGTAAGATGCTTTCTCTTCAGTTCCTCCTATGTTAGAGAGTCCTTATCCCAAGACTCACTTAACAAATAAGGTGTTAAGGGAAGGCATCCCAGTCTTGGCCGGCTCCGCACCTATTTTATGTTTATAGATGGCCCACCTAAGATTGTTTGAATTCTGCTTTTAGTCATGGCCACGTAGTTCCTATTAAACCCACCCTCTGGCGGGTGAGGAACTACAGGAAACCCCTGACAGCCAGAAGATGTGGAATGAGGAAACTTGTGAGAGGAGGAAAGCTCAAATCCCCACAGATCGAGAGCGATAGAAAAGTAGGAAGATGACACCTGCAAAAGGTGGAAAACGCAGGAGGCCTGGGCATCGAGTCCGCGCCATCACACTCCAGGTCTCACCGGCGCCCTGGGCAGCTGCTGGGGGGCAGTGGAGGGAGAGAGCATGCACGAAGGGAGGTGTCATCAAAGAAACAGGGCAGATTTGGGGGCAAAAGGTTTTAAATAGATGGTTATGATTTATATGAAGTAAGAAGGCTGGCATGGTCGTATTAACATCACACAAAATGGACATCAACATTTCACCAAGGAGGCTTTTCAAACGACAATGTATGTGAAAAGATGTTCGCTGTCATGAACTCCTGGAGAGAGAGAGCAGAACCACAATGCAAAACCCTTTCACTCCATAAGGGCGTCCATCAGATTTCTTTTTTTAAGGAAAATAACAAATATTGCAATGATAGTGAGAAATTAGAACACCAATTACTGGTAAGAATTCAAAATGGTGCCACCTCTGTGGAACAGTTCAGCAGTTCTCAGAAAGTTCAACATAGAGCCGTCAAATGACCCAGCAATTCCACCGCCAGCTGTATACCGTATATACTCAAGTATAAGTCGACCTGCCTATCTGCCGAGGCACCTAATTGTGCCACAAAAGCTGCATTAAAATTGGGCTGAAAAACTTGGCTTATGCGCAGGTATATACGGTATACCTAAGTGTCCTGAGAGCAGTGACACAGATCGACCAGTGTTCTTTGAAACGGTGTTGTACATATGGATTGTGATAAAGAGTTGTGTGAGCCCCTAATAAAAGGATTTTTAAAAATAAATGAAAAGAAACAGTGTTAACAATAGCCAAAAGATGGAAACAACCTAAATTTCTATCAATAGGTAAATGGATACCCAAAATGCACACACAATGAAATACAAACCATAAAGAGAAATTAAGGCCTAGCGCATGCTGAGTGAGATAAGTCGATCTCAAAAGGACAAATACCCTGCGACCTCACACAGACAAAATAACGGACACGGGGTGGGACGGAGGCACCCACTCTGGAAAGCTCTGGTGAAGGCGGAGTCGTCAGTGATGGGTCATGGCTCCCCAGCATGGGAATGTAATTGAGACCCCTAAGTGGAACACCTAAACAGTGTTCAAGTGGCAGATAGGTTATACAAGGAGGCCTGAAAACATTTGTGAGAAAATGGCATTAAAAGATACTGGGAATTTTTCCGTGGACTTTTGGGAACCCCTTTGTGTATATTTTTACAACAGAAAATAAATAGTTTTTAAAATATTCATCAGGATAATGGATATCACTAAAGAGAAAGTGGGATACTTCAAAGTGAGAAAAGGACTAATTCTATAGGAAGAAATAAGAAAATAGATGAAGGAAAATTTACAGAATCATGGTGAGAACTTGGCAATTCCACAGTTAGAGATTTTAGCGCCTCTCAAACAATTGATAGAACAACCGATTAAAAGGCCAGTTAAGACATACATAAACTGAACAGCACGATCAACTACCTTACCCTAAGTCTAAATACACATTCTTTAAAAAAAAAAATTTATTGGGTGCTCTTACAGATATTATAACAATCCACAATTCAGTTATATCCAAGCATAATTGTACAATTGCTATCACCATTATTTTCAAAACATTTTCTTTCTTCTTGAACTCCTTGATATCAGCTCCCCTTTATTCCCTCCCTGGCCTGCCCTACCCCCCAGGAACCCTAATGGGAGTAATGGTTCCCTGAGGGCACAGGAAGAGTGGGTGAGGGGGAACTGAGAGCAATGATGACTGTGTAACTCCACTCGAGGGGAACAAATAACAGAATTGTAGGGGAACGGATACATTGGAATGGGGTACAAAATGGCAAAATAAATTATTATAATATAAATATACATTCTTTAAGTGCATGTCATACATTATCTGAGATGAACTACATGTTGAGCCACACAAAACATTTTAAGGATTGAAATCAGTCAAAATATGTTCTGTGGCCACAATGTAATACCACATACGGGACACTGAATGATAGACTTCCAAATAATTTGTGGGCCAAACCACGAGAGAATGAAAGTATATGAAAGTCATGGGATACAACTCAAAAGGTTCTTAGTGGGAGACTTACCATCTTAAATAAAATCAAATCAATGACTTAGTTGTACCCATAAGATATTAGAAATAGACAAATCAAACTGACAGCTATTGAGTTGATGGCCCTCACAGCGGCTCTCGGACACAGGGCCAGTTCTGAGACTGTGCCTCTTGGGCAAGGAGAAAGCCGGGCTCTCTTCTGCGTGATCAGTCCCGCGGGTCACCGCTGTGCCGCCACAGCTCCTCAGAGCAAGACAGTGAGCTTAAAGGGGCAAATGTCAGTTTTCTTGCTCTTAAAAATCTTAGCAAGATTAACAAAAACATTCAAAATTTGAAACTTAAATTCAAATGAAAAGACAGTCACACAATTCAAAATGGGCAGATTTTGAACAGACACTTCCCCAGAGAGCTATCTGAATGACCAATCCGGGCATGAAAAGTACTGAGCATTATTCGTTATCAGGGAAATGCAAATTAAAATCACAAAGAAATAACAAAGTTATCACTAGATAAATAAAATGATATAAGCACTTGGGAAATTTCTTATAAAATAGATCCTTAATTTTTATATCTCAGCAAAGGATCCTTGTTGTCAATAGGTTAAGCACAGTTAGTAGTCCTACTAATTGAAAGGTCAGCAGTTCAAACCCCTAGCTGCTCCTCGGGAGAAAGATGAGGCTGTCTGCTTCTGTAAGGATTTACATCCCTCGACCCTGTGCAGCGGGTCTACTCGCTGCGCTCGGTTATCTCTGAGTCAGAATCTTCTTGAACGCAGCGTGCCTGTACTGTAACCGTGTATGCGGAGTGCACATACAAGCTACTCACACTGTCTACAAGCTGGAAAAAGCCTGTATGTACGTTATCAAGAAAATAAGCAAATTGTGGAACACTATACAATTGAATGCTAACTTGACAATATGAAGGAACTAGCTACTGAGTCACACAATAGCATAGTAAATATCTCTCTAAAATTATGACAAGTTAAAGAAGCTTTACACAGAAGTGAGGCCATATGTCTGAGAGCAAAACCAAACCCACTATCATGGAGTCAATTCCCACTTATAGCATCTCTGTATAGGGTTTCCAAGCCTTTCTAACTCTATATGGGAGCATAGACAGCCTCATCTTTTCCCCACAGTGAGTTTTAACTACCAGCCTTGCTGTTAGCAGTCCGAGGCGTCCCTGACAGCTTACAAAGGAAAATTTCAGAAACAAGCAAGGAGATTGTTGGCTGGGAAAAGAGCACAAGGGAACTTTCTCGGGTGAAAGAAGTAGGGTCCTGAATTTAAATAGAAGATGCACCAGATATGCTTTTAATGTGAAAACCAAAGACATTGCTATAATAAATGGACAGATAACATTAGTGTATACCGCTTTATGTAAAATGTATCCAAAAGAACAGTCAACAAATATGCAATCTAATTAATCATACACACTAGAATTCAATTTTTGTTTACTGAATTGCTTAGGAGTGAAGTGTATTGGTTTCTGCAGCTTACTGTGGAATTTAAAAAATAAACGTGGATTGATGAGCAGAGGAAGAGAAGGAGGGAAAAATGATGTTAATTGTTGTATATATGTAATGGTATACAGGTGTTCACCATACAAGTCTTTTTCTGTATGACATTTTCATAATATTGGGGGGAAAGATGATCTGAAAGTACAGTTCTGTCCCCTAAAAAAATAAACACTTGAAAGTGACTTACAAACCAGTGTGGAACCCCACCAGCGTAGGAGTACGCCAAAGCAGTGCTCACACATTTCATCACGTGCCACGCTGGCAAGGAAAGGCCACCGGGGCAGAGAACTGAGAAGCATCTGTACCATGCTCAAGGCCACACCATCTAGACTGCGGTTCTCATGCCCACTCAGTTACTGTCGCATGTCTGCAACGCGGGACACAAAGAACAGGCACCACTCTGAACAGGAATGACCTCTTTGGACTACACAGACTTGTCTTTTAATCATAGAACAAATATGCTAAAAAAATTAGAGGAGATGCATACATTGCTTAAAATACATAAACTACTTCCATTGACTCCAGAGATCTCAGCAGTCCCATGACCAACAGGAGGAATCCAACCAGTGATCAAAAACCTTCCAACATTGCACAAGGCTATAGATAACAGTGGAAGCCCAAAACTCTCGTAGGGATCCCCATGGATTAGGCCTCCGGTGAATCCTGGAGTTTGAATACCCTGGGTATCAGACCGTGTATTGGAAAGTTGGTTATGGCTTATGTAGTTAGATTACAGTGTTAGACCTTATCATTTGATCTCTTCTGACCCATTTTAGAATTGTTTCGGTTTTTAACTTTTTCTGCATTCTTTACAACTGAGATTTTTCTCTTTTGTTTTTGGGGTTTGTGGTTTGTTTCTGTTTTGCTTTGTATGATTTTTCTGTATATGAAATTCAGCATAGGTAAGTCTATAGAAACTAATTGGATTAATAATTATCCAGGAGCATGGCAGAGGAGGTTAGGGGGAAATGGAGCAAACAATTAGTATGAAAAAGATTTCTAAAATTGATAGTGGTGCTGATTATACAAGTCTTAATTGATAATGTGAATTACAGTGAACCCTCATTTATCGCGGTTAATCAGTTCTAGACCCTACCGTGATAAATGAAATTCCGC